GCATGAGGGTAGCTTCTAAGGTGTCTTCCCATTGCTCTGGTGATCACCATGTCCCTAAAATCGAATTGACCCGAACACCTCCAACGGTGGTGCTACCTACCTCTCAATGGTGGGATGGCACTACTTTTAAGGACATCTACACAGACGAATTCCTTAGGGTAGGTAGGTTCTCAAGGATACTTGCTCTAATCTCAAAAACAAACTCAAAAGACTTTTCACACTGACACTTTTCAAAAAGCTTTCAAAACAAACTTTTCAAACACTCTGACGTACGAGTCGATCTGAAATTTTTCAAAGAAACTTTTTAAAACCCACATTGAAAAGCAAAACAATTTTTGAAAACACAAATGAGCAAGTATCTAAGAGCCCATGGATAACCATGGATAGAAAGGGTGCTAACACCTTCCCTTTCTATAACCTACCTCCCGAACCGAGAGCAATCTCTTTAAAGGAATTTTTCTGTGCTTTTGTCCTTTCCATTTGGAGAAAATAAAAGACGGTGGCGACTCTTGCTTACCGCGGCATTTCGCGAACCAGCGTTAAACAGTCAGTTCCAGATCCACCGATCACAATCACCATTCAAGAACTCCTTTATATATGTGAAGCTCTTTAGATTCAGTAGATGTGTGTGGAAGCCTACAAGCAAAGTTGGAGTTTTTGTGTTCCCCAGACACATCAATGTTCAAGGGATCGGTAGGACTGAGTAAAGGTTGTTGTAGAATGGAGGCTTGATAGAATTATTGATTCTAGAAGAGTTAAGTCGAGATCAGGTGGATATTGCAAGATCAGAGAAGTAAATGTCGTATACAACAAGAGAGGATCAGGATAGAAGACAAGCTATTCTTATGAGTATCTTGTATCAAGTGGTTATATATTTATGTAAACAATTTTCATATTTTTTTATATTGAAAGATAACAATTTTTTAATGGGAAACCATTGAAGAATGGACTAAGCTCCCGCAAGGACGATAAAGTTGAACCACTATAAATCCCGATGTGCTCTTCTTCATCCCCCCCCTCTCTCTCTCTCTCTCTTTAATTTTTCTATATAGTTGTCATTCTTAGGTTTATATCGCTTTCTTAGAATATCAAGATGTTAGGATTTATCTACTTATATAGATTTCTTGATTAAAGTTAATTTTGTGATATATCTAGTAATTTGAACATTATCTATTGTGATTATTGTTGTATGAACTCTTATTGTTAGATTGCTCATTTGATTAATCAAATTCAATTTGAGCTTTGTGTGAAAATGGAATTACGATAATTGTTGAAATGCTTGTTTAAGCAACTTCATATTTCTCATTTGTTTTGATTTCTGGTAATTTGAAATAATTTTAATATCCATTTAATCCTATGTTTTATAAAATTGTCGGTATCTTTCGCTTTCGCTTGTAATATACTCACATGGTATCAACAATTGGCATTAGAGCTTGTAGTATGTGCATCTGTTTGTCAAAGGAAATGTTTTTAAAAATTGTTTTAGGGGAATGGTCTATTCAACCTCCCCCTTTAGACCATTCGATCCCCATCTCCTCCATCAACACATACCTTACAAAGAAAATACCTCTTCACAACAAAGACACATTTAGTATAATCATCCACCCACACTTACTTAATAGAGTGAAGTTAACAAGCCTAAGGTCGCTTAACCGCTCTCCATTTTGTCCTTACACACATCCGACCACTTAATCATGGAAACCTTATCACCTCTTTAGATCCGCCCAAAGAAAATGCCTCTTCATACCAACTAACTTCTACCAAACTAAAACTCACATCGTCATAAAATACAAAAGTAACACCGAAATAAAGTTCAACACTTAATTCAGTAGGACCACCCTCCTGCCAAGATTCACAAATCAATTCCTCCCGAAAGATAATCTCTTAGAGACTAGTTGCACTAGAGGATCCCAAGTCTCTTTCTTCCCCGAGTTCACACCCATCAGAATCCATAAATACTTAAAGGGAGTAGTATCCACCTTATAATGCAAATACTTCTCAACCATATAAAAAAAGGCATCTCCATATTAAATTCAAAAAGAAAACTCTTGGAAAAATTCACTTTAAGGCCCGAGACAAGCTCAAAACTTGTGAGGCCCAAGGAATCCCCACAAACACCAGATCATCAACATACTAGAGATGAGACAATTGTAATCCTTCTCTCCCGACCTTAAACCTTCAAAAACGCAATCAAAATCCCTATTTTCAAAGAAGTGCTAAGGCCTTCAACAACCAAAAGAAAGAGGAACGGTGCTAAGGGTTCTCCTAGCTTCATACCTTTTTGGATATTAATCTTCTTTGTTGGACACCCATTCACCAACACAATAAGACTCCCCAAAAACACACAAGCTTTAATCCAAGTCCTTCTCTTAACATCAAGCCCAAATCTCACCAACAAGTAGTCTTAGAAAGACTAACTAATTGAGTCATAAGCCTTCTTAAAATCCACCTTAAACATAAAACACTCCATTTTAGACCTCATAGTAAGAAATTAAAACTCGTTTAGAGCAATTACACCATTCACTAACCACATTTTCTTTTCAAAGGTTGACTTCTCTAAGGAAATTAAATTCCCCATAACCCCTTGTAGCGTAGCAACCAACACCTTAGCCACCAATTTATACACAGAATCAGGAAGAGAGACATGTTTAAAATTTCTCAAACCCAAAGGGGAATCTACCATAGGGATAAAGGCAACAAAAAAGACACCAGACTATTTGACAGAACATCATAAAAAAAAGGTTAAACATATCAAACACCTCTGATTTAATAAGCCCACAAAACTTCTTGTAGAAGGAAAAGTTGAACCCATAAGAGACTGGGCTCTTGGATCCATCTATCTGGGAGACAAATTCTTCCCATTCCCTAAGAGTAAACCTAGCAAAAAGGGACTCTGCCTCACTAGACGAGAGACAAGGAAAGATGACCCCATCAATAGTAGGCCTATAGTCCCCAAAATCTACAAATGATCTTAAAAGAACCTAGAAACCTTCCCTATGACCTCTAAAATTCTATCCATACACTGATCACCAACTTGAAGAGCGATCAAACTATTCCATGATTTCTCTGCTCTACACACACATGGGAGTATCCGTTATTAAAGTCCCCATCCTTAAACCATAATGTTCTTAGTCTTTGAAACAACTCAAGCTCCTATTGAATAAGATCCTCTAATTCCACCATTAACTCTAAACTCTCAAACTTATTCAAACAAGTCTTAATCCTAAAGTCCAGATTACCAAACATCTCCTTGTTCCAAACCTTAAGAGAGTTTTTAAGGGCTTTTAACTTATCTCTAAGGATGCACGCCATCCAAAAAAATGACCAACCTCGACCCTTAAAGAATCTCGAGCCACCTAGTCAAAGTTGAACTTGTATTGGTTTATCACCGTACATGAGCACTTTGCAGATTATGTGAATTCTAAATCTACCATTTATCACGACTGAGCTTATTATATCTAACCATTCTAAGAACATATCTACAACCATAGTCTTATACCTTCAATTGATGGTGTCTTTTTTATAATAGACTTGTAGGAGGTATTCGACAATCATAAATATAATAAAACTTGATATCAAGATTATACAGAAAGACTGAAGCGCATAAACATCATCCAAACAAACAACCAACTCACTCAACTATTTAAACATTCGACTCTATCTTAATTTGATTAATGTAGATTGTTTCTAGCTAACCACTTAAATAATTTTTAATTGCAAACAAAATTTTTATTATATAATATGAGAACAAAGGTAGTGCACTAACAATGTAAAATAGTTTTACACTATCATCCAATGCAAATTCATCAATTAATCATGTCACACAACTCACTTAAAAATATTATAGCGACTTAGTAAAAAATACAATGGTGATTGATTAATGGTGTAAAATTACTTTTACATTGTCGGTACATATTCTTTTTTTCATATATATATATATATATATATATATATATATATATATATATATTAACAAAATAAAGTGATATAATATATTAAATATATATACTAAAGAAAAGGTTTGAACATTTTTAAGTAAGAAAGAAGTGATCTTTTGCACGAGATATAGCTGAACATTGAAGTATACCTGTTCTAGGAACCATCAGAGGAAGCAATAATGAGTTCCAAAGACATAGAAATAGATGCATTTGTCTGAAAAGAAGGTGTACAGAGCTAAGAGATTAGTAGTAGTAAACATTAAGGTTTTAAGAATTTAGAAAGTGAGCAAGGTTTTTTTACCCAATTAATGAAACACATATATTAATGTCTTCATATTTTGCAGCTTTTCCAATAGAGAAGAAGAAACTTTCACAAACAAACACAATTCATTATAAAGAGAGAGAGAAATGAAGCATGGTAGTCTTGAATAAATGGGTCCCACATATGTAGGTCCCACAACACCGCCCATGCGCACGCTGTCTTCCTTGGACCTAACCCTAACCCAAATCCAACAATAACCCAAATTCATCCAACCAAAAAAAAACCCAAACAATATCCTTAATAATCTCATTATTATTAAACCACACAAACAAAAGCTTCCTAAGTTGTTTTTCTCTTACTTTCTTCTTCCCTTTCCCAACTTTTTCTTCTTACAACTCTTTATTACCTTATTTCTTCCAAACCTTGAACTACCTTCTCTTTACTTTACTTCCATAAAAAAGTAGATAGTTTTGTTGTGTCAATCAACATGGTGCTTGAAATTCTTTGGTGTGTTTTTTCAAAAGTTTCTGTTGAAGGTAAGTGCTAAGTAGTAGAGAGTAGAGACCATGCCATCAACACCTAGCTAGCTTTTCATCTCAAAAACCAAAGACCAATTGAAACTAGAAAACAAAAATCAAAAGTAAATCACAACCTAGATCCTTACCTATCTCTCTCTTTTCTAGCTCTTCTTGATCCCTTCTTTTCAATTTTCAAACAACCTAGGGTTGTGACTTTGTGAAGATATTTTTGATCTTGAATCTTGAAAAATATCATCTAGAGAAGAAGAAGAAGAAAACATCATGGATCAAGTAAGTGCTCAAGGTCGTCCTCTTCCACCTCCTTTTCTCACTAGAGACCTCCATCTTCATCCTCACCATCAATTCCACACCAACCACCAAGGCAACGATGAAGAACAACAAAGTGGTAATGGCAACATGAGCCGAGGTCAAAAGCGAGAACGAAACAACAACGACGACATCAACAACACTCCAACCGGCGGAGATGGAAAAGACGATGGTGGAAGTGGAAGCGGCGGCGGAGGTAGTGGTGGTGAGATGGGGAGAAGACCAAGAGGAAGACCTGCAGGTTCGAAAAACAAACCAAAACCGCCCATCATCATCACAAGGGATAGCGCGAACGCACTAAGATCCCATGTGATGGAAGTCGCCAACGGATGCGACATCATGGAGAGTGTGACGGTCTTTGCGCGGAGGAGGCAGCGTGGTGTCTGCATCCTCAGCGGAAGTGGGACCGTCACAAACGTGACTCTCCGTCAACCAGCATCGCCTGGCGCGGTAGTCACACTTCACGGAAGATTCGAGATATTATCTTTATCCGGCTCATTCCTTCCGCCACCTGCTCCACCAGCAGCGTCAGGATTAGCCATATATCTTGCTGGTGGACAAGGACAGGTTGTCGGCGGAAGCGTGGTGGGACCGCTGTTGGCTTCCGGTCCCGTTGTTATCATGGCAGCTTCCTTTGGAAATGCAGCATATGAAAGATTACCTCTAGAAGATGAAGAAACACCCGTGAATGTTCAAGGAGGTGGAGGATTAGGATCACCCGGAACTTTGAGTTCTCAACAGCAGCAACAGCAGCAACAGCAACAGCAACAACAACTTGTTCAAGATCCTAACAACACTTCATCACTTTTCCATGGTGTTCCTCAAAATCTTCTCAATTCATGCCAATTACCAGCTGAAGGTTATTGGGGTGGAAGTGTTCGTCCTCCATTTTAACCAAAAAAAAAAAACAGCTATTCTCTTAATCACTTCTCATCATGCTTTTCGTTTTATCTTAATTTGTTTTCTTTTTTTGTTCACTCTTTTACTTTCTCTTTATCACATGTTCATTCTCCTTCTCATAACTTAGTTTAAATTCAAGACTTTTTCTTTGATCATCTTATTGACTCTCTCTACTTGGTGGTGTTGAATTAAAGAAGGATGTATAAATTCACGAATTAATTTTTGGTGGAGTTTGAATTATTTGATAATATTTCAATTTATTTTCTTGTTCATCTCAAAATCTTCTTAGTTTAGTTGCTTTCAAATGAAGCACCATGTGCTCTCTCTTTCTTTCTTTATGTCTCTATTTCTATTTTCTTGCTGCTATTTTAGTATCTTGTCTCATAATTTATCAGTCAATCTTTGCAGAGAGAGGAAAAAGAGAATTTTTTTTCTCATCTTTTTCCATTTTTAGAGTGGTTAATTTCTAGGACTTGTAACCTAGCTAGATTCAGATTCTAAAATAAACAATCTAGAAATAACCCAACAAAAATTATACTACATGAACATGTTAAATTTTTTATCTATTTCAAGAAAAAGTGTGATGGACACAATAATTAGTTCCCTTTATAGTTAAATATTCTATCTGTTTTAAAATGAATATTTTTTAGTTATTAAAATTTGTTTCAAAATGAATTTATTTATATTTTTAATGCAGAAATGATTATCATTTTTTTAATTGTGTTTTATAATTATTACATTTTACATTACTTTCAATACACTAATAAAACTAATTTAATAAAATTGAAATATTTTATTACAATATTATTATATTTCTTAACTTATGTGCAAAAATTTTAAACCACGTTCATTTAAAAATATAAAGATTAAAAAACACTAACTCAAAATCATCATTACTATGTACACTCTCACTTTCTTTGCTACTAACACCCATCATTACATCCAAACTCATGTCTTTTTCTCACTCATGTTCTCAAAATTAGCACTATCATTATGTCACTTATACTATGTTTCATTAATACTAGTATATATTTTCAATTTTTTCCTTTTTAAGTCTTCATTTTTTAACCTAAGAAAAATGAGTTTTTTTTATTTATAAATAAGTATCTTCCGCAGGCATTATATTATAAAACTTTGTCAAGAAATTTAACAGCATTTCATGTGTTCGGGATTGTGCACAATTACAAAAACTAATCCATCAAATCTGAGAGGAATACAATACGTTGCAAAGTTCTCTTAAAAATTTAACACAGTTTCATGTCTAAGACTGAATTTTAACATAAAATCTTTGATTAAATTGAAAAGACTCTTATCATCTCATTCAAATATTCTTAAATAAAAAGATAAATATGATCGGATCAATAATTATTTAAATTAAATTTAAAATAATTTTTCGGTGTCTCTAAGCTTACCTTCCACTTAATTTAAATTATAGTTAATTAAGTAAATAATTATAGATTAGTTATGTTAATTATTTAATGAAAATTGATAACTCTTAGAAAGTGATAAACAGATGTTGGAGAGTGATATGAAGAAAGAAAAAAATGGACGGTTATGGGCTTGACTCTGTTTGTCTGTCTCTTGTGAGTGATTAGGGTTAATTATGGAGGCAGTAATGAGCATGGGATGTTGGGTCACACGTGCATTTCTCTGTCAACAAAAAAGATGGTTCCTTTACGAGGCAATTACCAGAACAAACAAATCCAACTTCAAGTGAGAGTTTATAAAATTAAACATCAATGATAAAGGGTAAAAGAATAATATAGAGAGAGATAGGTAAACTCAGAGTTTTGTCTTGATTATCAAATAGATGCTCCTTGAAACCCTAGCTCTTTCTCATTTTTTAACACTATATATATATATTATTCCACCAATGCCAACATGTATATAGTAACTTTGATTATTTAATACTCTTTGTTAAATTAACTCATTTGATAACTGTACTGAGACATCAGATATGAATACGTGAGTTTTAACCTAGAAGATTCTATTTACTCATATTTCTCACAAGAAAAACAAAACTTTGATTATATCACATCTTATCTTTGGATTCTATTTTTCTTAGTTTGTCCAGTTCCTCTACCTTAATTTTTTTTGCTATATAAATCAGAAGTTCCCAAAATCATTCTCAGTAAGGATCAAAACACTGAAAAAGTCCATATATAGCACTACCTGTGTTGTAAGGGTGTAATTTTGGACACTGTTGTTATATCTATGGTTCTTAGTTTCACATCTCAACAACATGCAATAAATCATGTTGGATTTTTGAATTATTTCTTTTATTATCATATTCTATGATATGACTCAATGTTATCAGTAAATTTAATTGCACTGAATTTTACGTAGTGTATTTATTGTTGTTGTAACTAATACTATAAATGGTTTTATGATTAAAAAAATTGTAGAATCTTTAGCTGGTAAGCTGTCATAGTAATACTCTCTCCTTTCATATATAGAAAATAACAATAAAAAAACTTATTTTGCTTATTTTAAATTGAAGTAAAAAAAACAAAAATTTTATTCTACATATACGTTTTTAAAGGTGAAATTAAATATAAATTGTATTTCATTTATGAAATTCATATTTTTCATAACTAATAGCCAATTAAAATTATTTTTTGACTTTTCTATAAAACTTATTCTAAAGAAAATAGAAAGAAAAAAAATTAATACTTCAAATTATTTAGTTGGATTTTTCTAAGTAAATATGATTTTTATTTCTTATTTATATATACTAAAGAAGAAAAATAATAATTTTATGAAAACGATTTTTTTAGTAGTTTAATCAACATAATATGTTACAGCTTTAAACTCATACTCATGCAATCAAATGTTGATCTATTAGTTAAATTAACAAGACTTTTTTTTTTATAATCAAATTAATTTTATTAATTATTATTATTATTATTATTATTATAAATGAGAATAATAAATAGAGAATGATGCACGTAGAATTAATAAGATTTGATTAAAGAGTATGTAATTAATTATATAAAATTAATCATATAAAATGAAAATTATTATGAGACATTTTAGTTTCATAATGGGCCCGAGAGAATACATAGTTTTGAGCCCACACATTCAATCATAAACTGCTAGAGATATTAAAATATGTTATTCGCCTTTAAATATGTTGGTTTTGATTAGGTGTATTTGCAGTGCAACTTATGCGTTTTTGATGCGAAGAGTTATCTGAATTACAAGAGAAAAAATATGTAATTTAATTTGATTTGTTGATTTTTAGAAATAAAATTGAATTAGATCAAATCAAATATATATATATATATATATATATATATATATATATATATATATATATATATATATATATATATATATATATATATATATATATATATATATATATATATATATATATATATATATATATATATATATATATATATATATATAAAAGATAATATAACTTTGTGTTTAGTCATTCATATATTATTAAATAACAATAAAACTTATCATATTTGGATAATAATTTTCATTTAATATACACAAATCAAATTAGATAAAAGTATAATAAAAAATATATAATAATAGCATAAAATAATATTAAAAAAAATATTATAATGAAACAGAAAAATAAAGGGAATGAGATATTAGACACGGTGAAAAAGAAAGAATAAAAAAGATGAAAGATTAGAACAGAAAAGATGCAATAAAAACGAAATCAAAAGAGAAAATAATAGAATAAAAATGAGAAGATGAAAAAGAAAAAACATAAGAAATGAGAGATTAGAGAAGAAAAGACGAGATGTATTTGGCGAATAAGATGAGAAGAAAGTGTGATACTCTTAGGAGAGATTTGAGAAGGTTGAAACTGAAATCCTAAGTGTGAGGAAGAGAAAGTCATTCGTAATCATAAGACTAAAGCATAATAAATTTAAGTTAAGATTGAATGTGGGTTAAAGGAAATTTGAGTTGTAACATATGCGGTTTGCTTTAGTTTGGTCCGGTTTATAAAATACAAATTAAAAATCAGACCGAACCATACAATTTTGTTCAAAAATAAGCCAAATACATCCGAAACAAATATGATTTTTGATTTATTTTGATTCGATTAGAAATTTTGTTTTGAACACTCCTACTTTTGACGAACCTCGTAAAAAACCCTGTTATAATATACTTAATGTATATTACTTAAGCTTGATGGTAGAGTCGGTAAAATAGGTTGAATCAACCGAACTGATCTAAAAGTCTATAAAAAATTTTGAACTTGAATATAAAATCTAGAATCCATTCATTATCCGAACTTTAAAATTTGTTCTGTTAAAAGCTCGAAATCTAATCAGACTAGTCCAACCGAATTGCAGATAGTCCATTTATATATTATTTAATATTTGTTGAACAAAAAGGCTAATACACTCTACTGTTAGTGTTCATATTTTTTAATGCAAATACAAAATTTATTATATACTAAATCTATAAGATAATTTTTGGGAATTCACACATATAAAAAAAAAATCCATCTTTAGTTTTATTTTCTTCATAATTTCATACATCATAACCACAATGGTAAGATCAAATAACGTCAGTACGTAGTTCTTTCAACTTGAAATTTAGTTATTTGATTGAAAGAGTTAATCTATACGATAATTTATTTTAGATATTATATGTAATATCTAAAGGCATGGAATAAAGGCTGTTTCATGTTCTTTAGTTAACTCTATAGTTTTATACAATGGTTTTAGATTTATAAAATTTATGTTGGTGGACCATAAACTTAGTGTTTTAGATGATTATACCTTTCTGCTTCATCATGGTGAGCATCATCTCTTGGATTGAAACTAAATCATAATAATGTTCCTTTGCCTTCCAAAAGAGAATTATAATAATGTAACTCTTTTTTTACACAGAGAATACTCTTATTTATTCTTGAAAATTTTTACAAATGTCTCTGGAACATTTTTGTTGGACTTTTATAATTTTAGATTTTGACATATTATAAAATATTGAATTTAGAGAGGGACGAAATCTGTCAC